CAATGTGTAATAGAAGAAGTGTTTTTGGAAGTATTGATAAAGACTACTACCTGTTGTGCATCACTGACTTTACCTGAAGATTGAACAGCAAAAAAAATCATAAGTTCTCTTCCGTAGTAGAAGAGATAATAATTTATAACAAAAATAGGGATAAAATCATGAAAATTATTAAATATTTAATGTTCAGAAATAAAATTGTAGAAATAAAATAATTTAATTGTTTCAAATGAATTATTCAAACTGTAAAATAATGCATTTCAATGATATTTTTGTATATTATTTAACAATTTTAACTATTTACTTATAACAAACAATTGAATCAGTGATTAAATTCCCAAACATTATTATAGTTTGAATAATTCATTTTGAATAATAATTAAATTATCTTATTTACAAAAAACAGTTGCATAATATATATATTTCTTGCTCTCTAAAACAATAAACGAGCAAAAATTTTTATACGTTGCGCGATTATTCTAAAGCAACCGCTTAATTCAATTTTTTACTACAAAGCTTTTCTCTATATAAATTTCTATTTAATATACATCAATAGAAATACAGTTATGATTTAAAAATTAACATCATGAAAATGTAAATTTAGATTTAACCGATAAAAATAAATTAATTAATAATAAATAAATTAATAAATTATTGCATTTAACATTATAACATATTCATGAAAGTGTAAATTTGCGATAGAAATGTAAAAACTATTAAATTATTGATTAGTATAATAAAAAAACTGTTTTTCGAAATACTAAAAATAATTATTAACTGTTGTGGATCACTGACGACCAAAATATTAATCTAATGTTGAACGGTACGGAACATTACCAATTAAATTTCCATCGTGTGGACGTTTTTTTAAAATTTAGGAGTGAATTTTTAAATAATATTTCTGAATATTTTAATTGTTTAAATATTATTTCTAATAATTTATTTGTAACAATTAAACAATAAATTTTGCCAATAGAAATCTAAACAATAAAACATTAAATAATAAAATCAAAAACAATAAATCTAATTGCCAAATTACTTTATGAGTCTGTCAATGAAACGCCTTATCTTCCTGATCACGTGATCGAGAAGGACATTTAGAGGGACTCCAACGCTCCGCGGCAATTCTAAACAGTAGAGTCTAGAATAATAGTGTAAGAATGAGAGCCCAGAAATATAGTTCAGAACAACAATCCAGAAACAGTCAGTAAGTACCAACCACTTTCATCGCGGATTTCCAAATACTTAAATTCAATACAAGTGTAAATCGTGATGATAAATACTCGTGTGATAAATATATAAAACAGTACTGATTTACAATAAACTATAATTTAGAGACCCGTGCGTAGTCACCTCCACGTGGTGGGCCTTGGTAACTGATATTGTTTTACAAACATTAAAGTTTGTAAAACGTCATCAAGCGAAGTTGTAAAACGATAAACGACAAACTTTAATGTTTGTAAAACGATAGAGCAAGCTAAGAACTACGCAACAGTTCAATTTAAATTATACAAATTTCGTTCCTTTCTTTATTTCACGATTTAAACTGAACTGTAGAGACAATT